CCCCGCCCCCGCCCGACCCCTTCCGCCCTCGTATTTGCGGATCTTTGACGCGCTTGCTTGACGCTGCTTGAATCGGAGCCGATCACATTGGATGAAGTCGTCCCGATAGAAGAACGCCGGCCGAGCTCAGTCGGCGTCCCGGTCCCCGGCCCGCGCGCTCGCCTGGCCCCTCGCGTCTCCGTGGCGACAGGGAGCCTCTTTCGGGAGCTGCTTGGGATTCTCGCACCGACCTCGGCGCGTTTGCGCACGCGCATGAGAAACGAGTCGATGTGGGCCGAGCGCTGTTTTTTCCGTCCGCTACCTGTGACCCTCGCGCATGCCGCTAACAATGATTGTGCTGCGTGTCAGCGTTTTCACGTCGCTGCCGATGCTTCCTGCGAGAACAAACGTCAAACTCAAACTCGCCGACGTTAGCGCAACACAGTCGACCTTCCTTCAAGATTTCTGGGGGCGCGGGTGGGGGGGGGTAAGTTCCCTGCAGAAGTAAAAAAACAAAACGGCATCCTGTCAATGTGTCTGGCAGCAGTGCTTCTCTCACGGCGCTCCCTCCCAAAACGTTGAGGTTCTCTTTGACGGAAATGGCGTTCAAAAAAAGAACGAGCGCGAGCGTCGCCACCAAAGCTCACCCTGCCACGGCATCTCTCCGGGGTTGAGGTCAGGACTCGGGGACCCTCTCGCGTTGAAGCCGTTCCTTTGCGGACTGGCGTGTCGGGTTCGGCCGCAAGCGGCACCGGGCTTTCGGATGAACTTTTGCCCCTCCCCCAACCGTCGGCTTCGGGTCCTCTGAGGGCTCTTTGGTCGGAGACGCGCGTCACAGACGTGCGGCCGGGCGACGCGTCTTTGAGGAGGGAAAACTCCGAAGCGGGACAGGGCGGCTCAAAGCGACGCCTCCCGTGTGGTCCGATTGATGGGACTCCAGCTCGCGTCCAATCAAAAGACGAGGACGCCTTCCGAATCTCTCCGGCCGACCGGCACGCAAAACGCTTCACGTGGCGAGGCTTGACGTCCACGCCGACCCGCCGGTGGCCAAAACCTTGATTGTCATTGGAACTGCCTTCTCGCTTTTTTTTCAGTCCCGAAACATGGACGCAATCGGAACAGGAATCAAAACGCCAAGATGAGGTTCATTGATGTCATTTGTTGATCCTTCGGTTGTGGTTAACGCTACGAACCGATGACATGCCGTGTTCACGTTCAAATTCGAGTTTGATAAATGATTGTGACCTTGATCGTGGGGATGATGATTTTTTTTTTTGTTTGTTTTTAACTGAAGAAAAAAAATGCCCACCTTCCCCCCTCCTGCACTCTTTAAAAACGTAACTCCAAACAAACAACAAAAAGGTGCAACTGGACTTTTTAAAAAGTTCCCCCAGTTCCTGCTGACAGTAACTATGTAACATATGTCACGGCATCCTTTCTCTACTGTATAGACATGAACGAGATGAGGATGCCTCCCGGACGCCCCCCTGGTCAGATGTTCCACCGGCAGGAGGCCAACCCGGGACGCGCTGGAGACAAGACGACGTCTCCCAGCTGGCCCGGGAAGGCCCCCGTCCCGATGGCTTGCTCGACGCACACTCGGAAGCTTGCGCGCATTTCGACCCACCACCAAAGCGAGGTTGGATGAGTCAGGAGTGCGGAGGTGGGCGGAGCCGGGCGAGTTGGCGGGAGCGAGCTCGTTTTCGCGGTTGCCGCGGAAACACCGCCGGGAGCTCGACCGCGAACGCATCCGCGTCAATCGCCTCATCGCATCGATCGCGCCCGTCAGTCGTTTCCGTCCTCGCACGCGAATTTCATCCACCCGCACAAGCGCGCCCGCCCACAAACGACGGCACCGCACAAAGTCCCGCGCGCGCGGCCGTTTTACGGGCCCGTCCCGCAAGCGTCCCTTTGGCGCCACCTGCTGTTGAAATGAAGCGCGGCGGACCGACCGGAAGTGGCCCGTCGTCGCTTTTGTTGTGAAATCCGCGCGAGCGGACACGTCGCGCTAGCTTAGCGCGTCGACTCGCGTGTTCTCGCGCCCGCGTCCATGAGTGACAAGTATGTTGCCTTTATCCATCAAGGACGACGAGTATAAGCCTGCCAAGTTCAGTTTGTTGCTCAAGCTGTCAGGATGGATCAGGTCAGTGCCGATGCTAAGCGCGCTAAGGCGGCGCGACGCGACGCGACGTGCCGAGGAAACCGAACGGCGGTCGCGGCCGCGGCCGCGGTCGCCTTCACGCGGGGGCTTTCGTTTGTGTCTTTTTCAGGTCCATTTTGTCGGACAAAACGTCGAGGAATTTGTTTTTCTTCCTGTGCTTGAACCTTTCCTTCGCCTTTGTGGAGCTGAGCTACGGCATATGGAGCAACAGGTAAGGCCGAAACCGGCGACGAAGCGGGAGCCGAAGGCCACTTGGGCGACGTTTGCGAGGCTCGCCCGCTTTCGGCACCCGGCGAGTCGCTCGCGCGTCGTTCGGGCTGCGGACGTGCCGCGTACGTGGCGCCGTCTGGCTCGCTCCATAACAGGAAGTGACGCGGCCGGGAGCCGGCCCTCCGGCGCGTGCGTGCGCGCGCAAAGTCCGAGTGGACTTGTGACGCGCCTGTTGTCGTCGGACCGTTTTCGGGCTCCGCGGACGGCGCCTCGGAGAACGCGGGCTGTTTTCGGGTGCGCGACAAATCCGGATGAGTCGAGTCCAAGACTCGCCGTGCGTCCGAAAAGCGCGTCCGCCGGGCCGAAGCGCCGAGGGTGCCCGCCCGTCGCGGATTTCCCGCACGCCGGACGGAAGGGAGCCGATTCGGTTGCCCCGGAGAACTAAGAAGGGCGACTCGTGCGCGTTTGTGCTCACCGTGTCGGCGCGCGCTTCGAACGAACGACGCGAACGCGGTTGTCCGTGTTGTCCGCCTGTGACGTCACGTCACCCGCTGGGCATTTCGATGCGTTGCGGGCCGGCTGACCGGCGCGCTTTGCCGCGGCCTCGGTCTGTCCGGGATCCTTCTGGCGCAGCGAATCGCAACCTTTCAATCCGGTCGACCTCTGCTTGGCCTCTGACCTCTGATGTTTTCGAGCGGCGTTTAGAAAAGAAACGTTTCCGCTCGCTTTCTTGGATGAGCCGTTCCAACCTTGTACCTCGGTGTTGATGGATTTCGTGCGCGCGCCTGTGTGGATGTGTTCAGTCTAGGTCTGATCTCGGACTCGTTCCACATGTTTTTCGACTGCACGGCGCTGCTGGCGGGCCTGGCAGCCTCGGTCATCTCCAGGTGGCGCTCTAACGACAGCTTTTCTTACGGGTGAGGCGTGGCCCGATGACTTGACCCCCCCCCCCCCATCAGGCCCTTCAACTTGTGCGTGCGCATGCCTCAGGTATGTCAGAGCTGAGGTGATTGGCGGCTTCGTCAACGGACTCTTCCTCATCTTCACTGCCTTCTTCATCTTCTCTGAAGGAGTTGAGGTAACGCGCACATACGCAGATCAAGTGTGTGTGTGTGTGTGTGTGTGTGTAAAACGTGTGTGTAACGTGTGCGCACGTGGCAGAGGGCTCTGGAGCCTCCGGACGTTCATCACGAGCGTCTCCTTCCCGTCTCGGTCGCCGGCCTGCTCGTCAACCTGGTGGGAATCTTTGTTTTCCAACACGGCGGACACGGACACTCGCATGCAGATCACGGTAACGCGCGCGCACACTCATACACGGTCGTACGGCCACCGGGGGCCTGAAATGTCCCCTCGGCGATACATCGCAAGTCAACACGGTCACCCGCAATCGGAGAGCGCGACTTCCCGTTTTGCGCGTCACATCGTCAAACCCCGCGGCAAGTCGTGCGCGTGACGTCATCTGTCGTCTTCATCCCCTTCAGGTCACGGGCACAGCCATTCGCTGTTTAACGGCAGCGCCGGCCACGGCCACGCCCACCACGGCCACGCCCACCACCACGGCCATCACGGACACGCCCACGGCGGACACGGTGGCCACGAAGGCCACGCCCACCACGGCGGTCACCACGGGCACAGCCACCACGATCTTGATGGTGAGGTCACGCGATGTTGACGATGTCGCACGTCGTCGCGGGCTCCTTTTGCGTTAACGATGAAGCGATGACGAGGACGGACGCGCGTGTTGTGTGCACAGACGAGCGTCGGCTGGGTTCCAGTAAGCAGATCCTTCAAGGTGAGGCGGTCGCCGCGGCGACGGCGGGGCGCCGTTGAGCAAACGCAAGTCGGGCGCGGCGGCGCTTGGTTTTGCCGCTGACACTTGGCGTGTGCGTCAGGCGTGTTGCTGCACATCATGGCCGACACGCTGGGCAGCGTGGGCGTGATCGTTTCGGCTCTCCTGATGCAGAACTACAACCTGATGATCGCCGACCCCATCTGCTCCATGCTCATCGCCGTCCTCATCGGAGTCAGGTGACACGCACGCACGCGCACATCCGCACGCGACACATTGCGCAAGCATCCGAGCGTGCGTCCGTTTGTCCATCAGCGTGGTTCCTCTGCTGCGAGAGTCCATCGGCATCCTGATGCAGAGAACGCCGCCGTCCCTGGAGCGCGCCCTCCCCGAGTGCTACCAGCGGGTACGTACGGTCGCCGCCCGCGCGTTCCGTCGGCGCGCGCGTGACGTGCGTGTGTGTGTGCGTGCGTCCCCGCCGCGTTCAGGTGCAGCAGCTGGAGGGCGTGTACAACGTGCAGCAGCCCCACTTCTGGACCTTGTGTACGGACGTGTACGTGGGAACCCTCAAAGTGGTGGTGGCCCCCGACGCCGACGCTCGCTGGATCCTCAGTCAGACGCACAACATCTTCACGCAGGTCGGTCGCCGCGAGGCGCGCGCGCGTCCGGGTCGCGTTGAGAGATGGAAAGTGGCAAGGGTGGTTTATTTTCTTGATGCGCGCAGTGTCGCTTTGGGGGAGATGGCAGGACTCGGCCCCCCCCCCATGTGAGCCATCGTGGATCGCTAGAAAATCATTTTTCAGTGGGGCAAAAAAAGTCTCGAGTCAGGCACAATTTGTGCAAATTCTCCCACTCCAAAAGATGAGAGAGGCCCGTCATTTTCCCCACCTCAACTAGGAGATATGAAGCGGGGTGGGGGTCCAGAAAATCATGTGTGTATATTTCTATGTGTGTGTGTTTCCATAGACACTCATATTTGGATGGAAACATACAAGCGCCTCCTGTAGTTGAGCGATGGCTCGTTTTCTTGAATATTTATTTGACTTCTTTGCATGTTGTGTTCAGTTGAAGAAAATGATGACGTCAATTCTTAAGTTTTTTTTTTTTTGGGGGGGGGGGCGTCCGGTGTGCGCAGGTGGGCGTTCGGCAGCTCTACGTTCAAATCGACATGGCCGCCATGTAGAGGCTCCTCCCCTTCTGGACTCTGGGACCAATGGCAGTCTATGGCGGTGACCTCTGACCTCGGGGTCACGGTGGAACTTTCGGGGGCGGGGACATACTGCGATGAACCTGACTGAACCGCCCCTCCCTCCGTTCGTCCCAGCCCCGCCCACTAGGAGGTTGGAGCACGGAATTGTGGGAAAGTGCCTTCGCTCGTCGTCACGTCCCCGCCCCTTGACACGATGCTGCCAGCCGATTGGACCGCGGACTGTGCGCGCGCGCGTGCCAAACCACGTGACCGGTCGCAACCTCAACAGTAATAAAAGATTGTTTGAGGTCAAGTTTGATTGCTGACACGCTGAGGATTTGGAGCAGTCTGGTGAGTCCAAATCCAAATTGCCGTCCATCCGCTTCATCAATTGCCGATGAGTTTCGCCAGCCGTCGTCGGAACGCGCTCGTCGAGTTCGCTGATGACGAAGCCCAAATCCAAATTGTGTTTGTGACCTGTTCATAGCCATTCTTTTTAGACATATGCGCATTTCAATAATTCTGGCCGATAAAATATTTTCTTTCTTTTCGGTTTCTCTTGACTCAGTACAGCGCGCCTCATCTCGACGAGCGGCTCAATCGGGCCCGTGAGTGACGCGTGTTTGTCGCAATCTGCACAGGCAGCCTCCCCCCC